TAAGGGTAGTATCTGGCATATAGATGCACAGTTGTTAAAATTACTTTCATAGAGTCAGTTGAAGGAATGGGTAAAGCAAATAATTAAATATTGTCAAAGATGGGTAGAGCCATTGGTAGAACTGAGACTGTCAACATTTAAGCTATTCTGGGGTTATTATAGTTTCAAAGATGGGGAAAACAGAGGAGTGGGATAGAAACTCCATTTACTGGATATGCATTCTACCCTTCTTCCCAACTTGTCTGGAAAAGTTGATGCTGAGGCAGAAAGGGTGCATAGAAGGGCTTAGGTGGTGTCAAGAGGAAACTCATGGAAAATGGAGGTAGAACGCAGAGAGTTTTGGATACAATAGGTGGGAAAGAGCATCTTAACTCGTTCATATTTCTGTACCTTTCTCTTCCTTGATTCAGCTCTTAATTCCTGTTTTAAAAATTTACTCAAGTGATTTATGAATACCTGAATTAAAAATAAATTTCAAAGAATATCCTGAGTTAACCACTATTAACAGCTTGCTTAATCTTCCAGACCTTTAATATGTATTTAGATATTTGTTCTGCTACTTTTTCACTTAACAGTTTCTTCAAGACCTTTCTATTTAAGTATATGCTTATTAATGGTGCATGGTGGTCCATGGTATAGATATACCATAATTTATTGTGTGATAAATGTACATTTGGGTTATTTTCTATTTTCTTGAAATAAACAGTGCTGCAGTTGATACCTTTATACATACTTTGTGAACTTACACAAACGTTTCTGTAAAATAGATTCCAATAAGAATTATTGGGTTGAGGAGTATGGGCATGTAAATTTTACTGGAGACCACCATATTGTCCTTTAAAAAAAAGGATGAACCACCTTACGTTTTACAACTGTAAAGAGAATACCATCAGCTTATTGGACACTATCAATCTTTTTTTATTTTACCAGAATAGTGAGTGAAAACTTGTAATTACTAATGAAGTTAAATATCTTTTTTGTAGTATTCTGTTTATTTATATTTGTTTTTGTTTTGTTTTTACAAATTGCTTTTCTGTATATTCTGTTCATTTTTCTGTTGAATTTTCACTGTACTTTTTATGTAACCCCATTATAATATTTAAAAAAATTTTTGTAGCTGTTTCTGTACTTGTTTCATTGAGAGTAGGAAATGAGTTTTTTATCCTTATATTTACTGTACTTAGAACAGTGCTAATAAATAAATGGCTTCTACTATTTCTGACAATCGTCTAAGAAATACATGGTTTGTCATGTAAGTGGAAACTAAAAAATAGAGCTCATTTTGATCTATTGTTTTTTACTCTTTTTGTTATGATAACCAAAGGATACCCTACCTAGTTGTTTGTTATATAAGAAACAAAAAAACAACAAAAAATGTTTCTTTAGTAGAGAAGTATCTTCTTTGAGTAAGTTAATCTTTCTTTGAATTTTTAACTTTTATTCTAATGTATTATAAATACATTTATGAACATTTCTCTTATCCCAGGGATTTTATTTATAAGAGCCTTTTCATTTACCTTCATTTTCATGGTGGCTGTTTTAAGTGTTGGATTTTTTCCTGGAAAAATATTTCAAGTTTTGCAAATGTATGTGAAACACAGGCTTGCCAAGTTTTTAATTTTTTTTTTTTTTTTTTACATTGTCTAGATGCTCCAGAATCCATCTGAGTTTGCACAGTCTGTAAAATCCTTGCTGGAAGCACAGAAGCAGTCCATTGAGTCCGGCTCCATAGCTGGTGGGGAACACCTCTGTTTTATGGGTAGTGGCAGGGAGGAAGAAGACATGTATATGAACATGGTCCTGGCACACTTTTTACAGGTATGCTGACATAGATTATTTGAATTTTGTTTGGTTCTTGCTGTCACCTTTAAGAATTCACATAGATAATTTTTTGCTTTCATGTGCACTGTCAGATTTATCTGTATTTTTCTTTACAGCATTTTGGTTTCGTGTCTTGCCAAAAATTGTCATCTTCTCCAGATTTTGCTCAAATGTTTATGAGGTTTATTTTTTATGTTTAAGTCTTGAACCATCTGGAATTTATTTTTGTGTAAGAAATGAGTTAGGAATAAAAAAAAAATTTCCAGTTTCCTAACCAGTTGCTACCAATTTGAAATACCACCTTTTTAATATACCGAATTCTTCTATACATCAGGATCTATGTTGTTGCATTGATCTTTTTGCCTGTTCATGCCTTGGTACTTTTTATATTAAATTGTAGCTATATAATTCATTATAATATCTTCATTTTGAAATTGAATAAATATACATGCATATTTATTTCTTACCCTTAGCTTGCTTTCTTTTTTGTGTTTGAATGTTGTCTTCAGCACATCTAACTTGTATTAGTGGTTTTTTGAAACCTGTCCCTCTGCTTTCTTTCAAAACCTCACTCAGTGATGGCTTTCTTTATAAAAAATAGTTGTTTATTAGGGATTCTTTGGTACTTTATACATTAAAGTCCTTTGATCCTGAACTATGGAATCAGGAAGACAGTAGGCATCGTATTACACAAGCCACTCAATTTGTATTCGTTTCTATTCATCTTATATTTTAATGGGAATCTGATTTGAGAAGATTAGGCTCAAGACAAAATCTTTGGAAGGCAAAATCAGAGAAGGAACAAAGTATTTGGAAGAGGAAAAATTGTAAGATAATTTTAAACCTTATTAAAGGAAAGAGTTTAGAAACTTATACAGAATAACAAAAATAGGAATCCAAACTTATTTTACTCACAAATTTACCTAGCCTATTCTAAAGATGCTTTAATATAAACTGTATACTGTGAGAGCTGTCATATAGCAAGAGTTTAGAATGTTGTGAACTTTTTTATTATTCAAGTTCTTGATGTGGTTTTAGAAATTTTTTGCCAAGTTTTATTATGTAAAATTTCAAAGAAATTGAAAAACAGGGAGAATTCAACACTATAAACTCTTTATGAAGACATAACTACATTATCATCATACTTTATTATAAAAAAACAAATGTTCAAGTTTCCTTGAGTTTCCTAATATCTGAAACCAGACATTACATTTAGCTGATGTCTTTTAAGTCTCTCTTTTAGGTTCCTTTTTCTAATTTTTTTCCTTGCATATAT